TATTGCAATTATTGAAATTAATATTGTAATAAATATTGAATGATTAGTAATAAAAAACACTGATTCATTTAATTTTAACTTAAGGTTTTATGGTGAGTGATATAAGCATTGTTTTAATTTAAAAAATATATTATCGTGTTACACTAAGACTGAATAATTAAGGGTGTCGGCCTTTTTATCAAAACGTCCGGCTTTTCGGTTTAAAGACCTGGCAACCCTAGCTTGGTAGTAAGTTTACGCTTTGCATTTTACAATCTTATAAACTTACAATATAGTTTTTTTTAGTTATAAGAGTATGACGTTAGTATGTACAATGAAATTAAATTTGCAACATATAATTTTATGTTCATATAATGACATAACCTGTAAAATATTAAATTTTGACTGAAAACTTTACTACCTACTTAGTGCTCGAATTTGAGCTATAGGCTCTTAAACGACAGTGCAATTGGCTTAGAGTAATTACTAATTACATACATACGTATGCATAGAGAGAGCCTACAATCCTACATAAATTGAGTCAATGTACTTGTCTCGCTTTTTCTAATTTAATTTTCAAATAAGGCAAAAAGAGACAAATTTATTAAAAGATGTTGCGTTTAATTCATACGTGGTAATAGAAATGTCATGTGCTCATCTTTGGTCTGTTTATACTTTGCCAAATATGAGAGTAAGTACACTTGTATCTTTTAATTTACCAGAAAAATTACATCCCTATTATAGTAGTATTATGTGACGTTAAATTACAAAACATGTCGTTTTTAACCTATAGTGATTTCGTTCACAATGTTAGCAACAATCGCCATCGATATACACATTGTAATTTAGTTGTTTATTTTTATTACTTGTATTTTTATTAACATATGTCTAAAAGTATACAGAAAATATTACTAGGCATATTATTATTCGAACGATCAAGTAAATTGTTTTCTAAGTAAAGTGATGATGATGATAATATTACATTGAAAATATTCGTTTCGCAAGCTTTAAAACTAATAGGTAGTTAGGGAGATATGAATACCATAGAATATTATAATACACAATAGAATGGCTGTCAACCTTACTTTGTAGGAGAATTGGCGTCGCCGGGAGCACTCATATAAGTAATTACGTCGTATTACCAGCTATCACTACTACAAACATATTAAAGACTTTTAATTAATGTTTTTGACACATAAATGTTTCTTTATTTTTGTTTCTAATATTCACAAAATATATAATAAATAGTTTCGACTTACGAAAATCGGGAACGATTGATTATGTTGACATTTATACGTGTGAATTGACGTATTAGTGACAGGCTACACGGGCTCCGCCCACTCCCCCGTTTTATTATGTATGTATAATAGTATTCTACGATGAATATTAAGTTTTGACAGACACACGGTATAAGCGAGTTGGATCCCATTTGCAATCCCAATTTTATATACTGACTAACAATTCGCCCCGGCGCCACATACCGGTTCCAATAGTGAGTGTGAGTGTTCGTCAAAATCGGTGAAGCCATTCTCAAGAGATGATCCTTCATACATGCGGCATTTGATTTTAATTTATATAGATTTACCACTTGCTTAGTGGAAAACCGTCGGCTAGATTCAATAAAGCTTTTTCTGTTTGGATTAAAATATTTCGAAGATCTTGATCAACTCGTGTACTAGCGGTGTAGAAGAAACCACTACCTCCTGTCAAATAATATATATTATTACTTAGGTTTAAGACCCCATATCATCCCATAAGTATCATAAAAGACGACATGGGGACATGGAACAGGAGATAGGCAACAGTATCTTCCTGATTACAACTCAAAATAATAAAAAATTGCGGTTGCCGAACCACTTGCTAAGAGAGGCAACTATAGCAAATAGTCCCTCAACGTTCAGCAGTGGACTTTGATACATGGAACGAGTCCATCTGATGACACTTCTCTTCAGGATCCTTCAATTACATTTCCATTCTCTGTGTCCTTTTAGCACCACGGCCCATGGCGGAGCTTTGAGCACCACTCTTTTATATAAAAAAAAAATTTTTTTATATTACTACTTATAATTGATTTTAAAATAAACCTTCTATATTAGAAACAAAAATATTTTATATTACCGACCTTTAGGTGATCTCTCAGTGCATTTTAAATAGCATCACGTACCTCGGATATAAAGTTACAAGTTGTCGATGTTGGTACTACTTGGTATCCACTTTGATTCCGAAATTCTTGGAATTTCACTGGTTGCTGTGGTGTTGTAGATGGGAAACATGTTACCATCAAAGCTCGACCAAACGCAGGAAGTACTATACTACAACTATAAAGAAACGAATAGCATCGTTCTCATGGCAGTAGCAGACGAAGACTACTGTTAATGGGCGTTTATCGGATAGTGGAGTTTTCTCCCTTTCTGACCTTAGTCATGCTTTGAAAAATAACGATAACGCGATAACGAGTTTGACCAATTGACGTTAAAACAATTTTTTTTGATTATAGTTTATCACGAGCAGTGAGAATCATCGAAAGTGCTTTTGCTATCTTAGTAAGTCGATTTAGAATTTTCGTAAGGCCCCTACCCTTTTTTCCCAACAAGTTGGAAAAAATAGTAAAAGCCTGTTGCGCCAAGCATAACTGGGCGAGAAAAATCAAAATATCTGTACTTCTTCTTTCTTCACTGTTGATATCGAGGACTCAGAGAATGTAAATGTAATTGAGGGATCCTGGAGAGTAGTGTCATCAGATGAACTCGTTTCATGTACCACCACTTTGAACCACATTATTTGTGGATTATATCCGTCATCCGTTAAAGCTCCAGATTTTGTAGTCTGTTTAAATTTCTTAATCTCTTGCGAATATGTAAATCTCAATTTTTTATTTTAGTATAAACTTCTTTACTTCCAAACACCGGTATGTTCATAGCTTCACTTATAAGTAGAAATGCCGCATCTCGGGCTCCTTTAATTTTGCATTTAGGGTACTTACTATTGTAAAAACTTTCATGTTTTAGATACTCAACACAATTTATAGGTTATGTCACAGCACAAATTTATAGGTTATGTCTTCGGTCCACCTTGCCATTTTTGCAAGACAAGCGAGCGTCCAACGCTAAGCGCTAAACAGTAAACGCTGCTGTCCAGACGTTTTAGTGTTGTTTGGGGGCAGACATACTGCGAGTGAGGTGAAAGGGAGGATGCACGGGACGTGGTTACTCATTATCTACTCGCAAAAAAATTAGAACACGCTCCTAATCACTTCACTACGCAAGTTACTAATTACTTGCACTAATCAATCGCTCTCCATACGTGTTTACTCTTAATCACTAAGCACCTACACTAATCACCTGCACTAATCACTGATCAAAGTGAATACAGGCGTAAAGAGTAGCGCACAATTTTTGTATGGAATAGCTGCTCTAGTACGAAGTACATATAACTCAATGCCAAAAACAAAGCTTCAAATTAAAACGCAAAAACGTGGAATTCTCATCAAACACTCGTTTCTTAATGACTCATGAATAAAAAGAAAAACATTTGCTTGACGTGTAATTTTTTTCTAATTAGTCTTTAATTGGACCTTTTAATTGTTTTTAACTAATTCACATAATTTTTCCTTTCAACAAAGATAAAATACGTCCTAATAATTTACTTTAAACGTTTTTAGATAAATATTAAAAGATAATATTTCTATTGTTGTCAGAAGTCAACAATTGTCATTTCTATCATCATATGTCTTTGTACATCCATATTCCAAAAATGCGACATCTATAATGCATTACAGGAATCAGCGTACTTACGAGCACGGAAACCGCGATCTGATATTGTCATTTCGCCTTACAAGTGTAACAATAAAGGCAAATATATATGTGGCATACTTTTTCGTTAAAATACCATTAGGTCACAATCCATGCATACGAATCTTTGTATACGTGGATTGATTTCGATTCGATTCTTCGATTTCGGGTATTTACCCGAAATCACCGTCCGGAATGCAACCAAGTGTTTTCTATTGCTTGTTCTATTAAAATCTAGCTCTACGTCCCCATAGTTCTATCTCGATGTCTCTAGATCACTTTCGAGTAATCGCCGTCTTTGGGTCTTACGTTAGTAGGTGATCTGGGTTCATCATCAACTTGTTGCAACCAGCTTATAATATGCTTTCTGTTAAATTTAAGACTCTTCTTCTCTTTAAATTATCACTAGGCACAACTAATTGACAACCAGCGGCAAATAGTGCCAAAACGTTTTAAACCATGTTTACCCTAGTGTCGGCTCTAAAAGCCACTAATAATACTATGCAGGAAACACTAAAATATTTTTTATGCATTCAATCCCATAGGAAAATTATTGCCCAAGCACAAGTGCACGCTCTGTTCTCTAACTCTGATAATCCGATGGAATGGCAATCTGACACGACTTGAGAGATCAGGCGCAGCACTAACGGCTTTTCATCTTTTCCGAGGCACGGGGATGAAACTTCCTACAACTTCCTGGCTCCTGGGTGGCTACTAAAAATTTCTTGACAGAAAAACAGACTACTTAATAGATTTTGGCCTAACCCGAGACTACATAACCTGCAGTCGCGTTTATAGCCACTAAACCATTGAGTCAGCCAACCATCTAAAATTATTTGTCGTCAGAGTCGATAAAGGTCGAAGTCAAATTAACGTAGAATGCTCTTTTATGCCATACTGAAAAACTCAAATGATTTATTGACTATACTGTAAAAGTAAGTACACCTTATACTTACTTTTTTCTTTTAAAAAACGTAACACCATGTCATTTTCTACAGTATCTTTGCGAAATTTCACACGCATTAAACTGCACATATACATACATCGTTCAAACACTTTAAGCCGTGCAGAGTTCGATATGCGTGCAAGCTGTCAAATAACAAAGGTCGTAGTTCATAGACGATTGTATTAAAACCTATTATTTACTTTTAAAGTTTCAGTTATTCGAAGTAATGTTAAAATATTTGCATAGCATAATAACTAGAGTATATATCTATTAAAATGTTACAGGGTACAAGGCATTACGGGCACTATACGCGCGGGAAACAGTGTGTGCGTTCTGGAGGAGAAGGACAAGAACACCGACTCCTTGAAGGCCTACAGGAAAAAGTCCTGTTACATCCTCCAGGACGATAGACTGAACCCTCTTTTCACCGTCGCCGAACTCATGAAGTTTGCCGCCGATATGAAACTGGGCTACACTTTGACAGAGAAAATGAAGAACACAGTGGTAAGTGAATGCCGTATGATATACAAAAATCGTAGCTTTTCTTCTTCTTTGTAAGTCTGTAACAGTCCCGCAACACTACTGGACTTCGCCCTATTCCATTGTAGGCAAAATTTTCCGTAATCGCCACATTCGGAACGCAAATTAGCCAAATTGATCAAATAACCATTGACGGATGTTTTGGCATTATGCGTCTGCTTGGTAATGGTATTACACATCTGTCACAAGATGGTTACTCTTTGATGCTGCCTGATGGTTCACAGATAACTGTAGCCAATTTCAAACAAAGAAATGCATTGTCACCTCTGAGGACTAAGATTGTATGCATCACAATCTGACAAACGTTATTAAAAAAATATATACAGGCTCTGTATACTTTTCAAACGGAATACAGCAGTGTAAACAATGCCATTTAACAGCTGAAATACTAGAGGGTGTCTACCCAACCGGACTCCAGGATCCTTCTAGGCTACAAAGGAATTATGTCACTTAGTAAATAGTATTACCATCTATAGGAGCCTGCAAGATATTTCGAGGCAATTATTTTATCGATATCGACCTGATTTAAGGAGGTTATCAATACGTCTGAACTGGTTTATTATATATGTATATTGTAACACAATACCAAATAATGGACCGTACACAATAACTTCTACAAATTAAAACTAATGGTATTATAATTAATAATTTGACATAATTATTAATAAATTATTACAACATTTATTTCGAATTTCCTACTTTTGGCAGTGCATAATCTCAAAAGCTTGGAGGTTTTCAGTTTTAAGGAGAATTAGATTTTTATTATTTAAAAATTATGATAATATGTACACCAGACTGAATGTCGCAGTCACCACGCGGCAGCTATTCTCAACGGAGGCTGGCCACCTGCGCAGGACAGAATCAAAGTTCCCGAATGTATATGCAAGCATAGGTACACCCTCTATTCGCTTACTCTCTTACGGTACGTGTACACCAAAACCGATTTTGTCGGCCGATGGCGAACAGAACTATGCGGACGAGTAACTCGGACGTGTATGTGTTTACATTGCAACAGTGTACCACTTGTGCCGACATTGAACGTTGCCGGTATTCTTTTCTATTTTTCTATTTTCAATATCCATAGTCATTTAGGGAGATAACACTGACAGAAACAATAGAATAAAGACAAAATGATTAAATTAAACTATAAATACACTCAATTTACACTGTAGACACCGGCAGTCGGGCGAGAAATCCCAACATGTTCGAATTCGACTGTTGATAACGTTTTCATGCGATATCGGACGATGACGGTCGTGTATGTATACGCGCTCTCTTTGTTTTACAAGTGTTTGATTCGATCGTCCGATATCGGCCGTTGTCGCCCGTGGAAACTACGGCCGATGACGGATTTGGTGTATGCGAAGCGTTAGTCCGGTGACGGGACTTGGAGATAGGACGGTTATTTAAAACGACCGACGAGAGCGATAGAAAGAGACCAGACGCAGTTCCAATGGCTTTTCGAGCTTTCTGAGGCACGGGGTTGAAACACAACCAACTTCCTGACTCCAGGCTGCTACTGCGAATTTCTTGACAGAAAACCCAATAACTGATTATGGTCCAACTAAAGACCTTAAAATCAGTTTATCGACCACGAGGTCAACGAAGCGGTCAAATATTTAAAAATATACAAATTAAATCTTAATTTAACTTCAAAAAAACTATGACATCATTTACTGGTATTCCCACACAATTCTTTGGATATATTTCATTTTGATAGCTCGTATAGAGTATTTTCAGTCGAGATGAGTGAACCTTTCGCACTTGGTTTATTTTTTTGATAGTTCTATAGGTATACATCAGATATAGCTACACAGAATTCGATTCGGCGTGGTCGGGTAAATAGTATAGTTTTATCCAATAATCATCAAAACTTCTACGAAACTTTTAGAGAATAGAAAACATTTACAATAATATACTCTAAGAATATAATTTGTTGTTAACAGGTGGTGGAAATACTGGATACTCTTGGGCTATCGGGTACGGAGGATACCCGATGCTGCAATTTATCTGGTGGGCAAAGGAAGAGGTTGTCCATCGCTGTGGAGCTAATCGACAATCCGCCAGTGCTGTTTCTTGATGAACCTACAACGTAATTTTTTTAATTAATAATATAATATCATCGTAGATCTTGAGTCCTAATGCCATGCCGATGCTAAATCTCAAGCTTTTTCTTTTTTTTTTTTTTTTTTTTATAGGATAGGTGACAAACGAGCACACAGTCCACCTGATGGTAAGTGGTTGCTGTGGCCCATAGACATCTACATCTATCCTCGATTACGAATCAAAATGCAGATGCGTTGTCACCCGTGAGGACTAAGATGGAACGCCTCGTTTCCAGTAAAAAGGGTCTCCGGTTCTCTACACTCACCATACGAAATACAGCAGCATTAAGCTACTATTTCACGCTGGTATTCTGTGAGAGCGTGGTCCTTCCCCGGTCGAGCCGACCCATTCGTGCTACAACTATACTACTAATATAACTGTAGCATGGCTCTACCACGTATGATACTTTACAAATCAGATAGTCTTATATTGTGTTTCTGCTGTGTTATTCGTCCGTCTCTTCGCCAAGGTCGAGAAGATGTTCTACTTGAGCCTGTAAGGAGAAAAAAATGGGGCGGGTCAGCTAACAAAACAAAAAGGCTCGAGTAGGAAACTGAGTAAAAGGAAACACACTTACATAAAACTACTTTTTACGGTTTTTATCGCGTATATTAACTTATTTTATATTCCTGACGTTTGGAGTACTTTACTACACCTATAGTCACAGGGAAACTGAGGTGTTTGACGTCCCAATGTCATAGGCTACCCCTAGGCTAGGTACACGTTATAAAATGAAACTTTTTAAATGTGTAGTGTTCGGTAAATATAAAACTATAAGTACTATTCTATGCTTATGGGTAATCTCTATATCTCTATCTATCTATCTATATATCTCTATCTATATCTCTTATAGATTATATCTATGAGCATGACTATGCTATTATATGATATATCAAGTCAAATTTTATCAAGAAAATTTTAACTGGTTATCGTTACAATAAAAAATATGCAATGAATTTTATATAACCAAATTTACCTATTCAGTGGTTTTACGAACACACAGGCTGCTTGCTACCTTAAACTTCATTTCAAATCTTTTCGTTTTCTCGGTACGACAGCTATGCATCGTTTACTATTTCGATGTTTTACTAATATCGACATTCGACACCGCTTACATCCCTTGATTTGTCGAAATGATTTAGCTCAGCATGCGACACTTGTGACTTTATCACGTTTTCATTATGTCAGTTTCTCGTCCGTCTGTCTTGTTTTGCGGGTGGAATCTTGCAACTCAAATTTTAAGCACTTCCCTTACTTCCCTAACTTGAAAATTTGAACATAACTTAGAATTAGATGTAATGTAGAAAATATGAAAAAACGTGGTAGTTTAATTTGGTACAAAATTTAATAAAAATCACTTGTTAATTTCGCAAGAGGTACGCCAATCGAAGTCTTATTTAATTGATACTGGCAAGTATACATATATTATAGTATATAATATATAAATTACGTGTAACGTTGTTTGTCCGCGATGGCCTCCTAAACTACTTAACCTATTTTAATCAAATTTGCACACCGTGTGCAGTTTGGCCCAACTTGAGAGATAAGATAGTTTTTTGCCCATGAGTGAACCACATTTTTTTTTGCTAATTTAAAATTTTTAATAGGACGTGACAAAGGGTCGTCGAATAGGGCAGAACAACGTCTGCCTGGCAAGCTATATATTAGTATATTGTAAGGACTCGATATTTACTGCTTAATTCGAAAATAGATAATATAAAAATAAAATTAATCCCGGTTTGCATACTCAAAGCAGTTTGCCCTTTATTTTTATACCATATAATATATTATGTAGGAAATATTTTTTTAATATTATACTACGCCAGCTATTTGTTTGATAGAAGGATAGCGTCATGCGTTCACAAATTATTATACCTGGCTTGAACTTTTTAATGTAAATATTGATTATATTAATGGTCGCCACACATGGTCACTTCAACTGATCAGTTCAAACTAAAACTGTTGATATTTTTTTAAATATTGGATTGTCTATATATCGATAAGTATGCTTATATATAAAACTCCGACATAGATATATTTATAATTCGGATCCAGATTTGGTGTTTTTTTTTTTGTTGGTACTAAAACTACCAAATATTAGGGATGTGAGTAATTTTACTCCGTAAATATTAATTTGTTACTAAGTGAACTACAGCGAAACCTATTTAATGCTAGCGTAGCTACGACTAATTGGGTGCGTTTGGCAGAAAAAAGCGCTAGCAAGCGCTTGTAAGCAAAATGGCGATCGTAAACGGTAAGCGCTGTCAAATCGTAAGTAGCTATTTTCCTCCATGACACGATGTTAGTTTTAACCGGGGGACCTAACCTAATTTAAATATATTTTTGTAAAGTATTTATATTAAAAACTTACCAATCATGAATTTTTAATAACATATATAATATTTATTCGTGTCATTATATTACTTAAAATTAATATTGCACAAAATAACTTATAAAGTCTACTTCAAAACAAACAAATTAAATAAGCAAAATGGCGGATTGTGTCAGCGCTACTGAAGTAGCAATCGTGTCCTGGCCGAAAACTATTTCAGCGCTTATAAGCGCTTGCTAGCACTTTTTTCTGCCAAACGCACTCATTGTCTCAACAAAACAAATATTATATTGTATGACATCAATCGGTCAAATACAGACGTTTTTAACAGACGCATTAGTACAATAATAGATACCTACTTAGATCTTGTTTTCCAAACCGGTGCGGTGTAGGTTTTGACGTTCGAAAAAGCTTCATACAACCCAAAATTAACTAAAACATTCGAATTTAAATTTGGAAGACTATACTAGTATAAAATATAGTAGGTATAAAACAAATATAGTACGTGGGGTTATATGCTCATCCGGTTAATATGGTCACTTTCTTATAACTCAAAAACTACAGCATTATTTGCATGGAAAGCTAAATATCATACGATAGCTCTTCATCAGTCAATCAATAATAAAGGGTCGAAAGGACGCAACTTTATCGACGCCATTTTAACAGTTGATATTATAGTAAATATTTTAGTTGATTGAGTTTAGTATGGCATAATGTAGTTAGTTTTAATTGAGTTGATATTCGTGTTCCTAATAATTGCCAAAGCTTTTTTGCTATTTTTTTATTATTACCTATATTAGTTATAGCATACAATTTTTTGTTTTTATATCTATTCTCTTCCTGGTTTTGGACCATATTACCCTCATGAACTTTGTAATATGTTATATTATGGCTCAACTCTAGCCAGACCTAGTCTCTTGGTACGTGATTCAAGGTCACGCCACTAGTTCTTCCCAAGGTTTTCGCCGTAAAATTTTGGGTTTGTGATTTCCACGATTTCGTTTTCTGTAAAGTAGGCTATCGCTTTTTTCATCAAACATCCTTCAAATACGTGAATGTTTGACATACATATCAAATAAATGCTGAACACGATTAACATAATGTTGGGCGGCTAAGTTGACATCTGGCAATAGCGCCATCTAGTGTCGGGTAACAGAGCGAAGAGAGAGCTTTCCAGAAAATGACATCACTAATCTTTCAACCGACAGCGCCATCTGTTGTCGAAACGAAGAACTAAGCTTCTGGAAGCTGACTCTCGAACTTTCGGCGCTTTGTCGATTGGTGCGCGTATTTACTTGAATATTCTGGATGTTTTCGTGGAAGGGCCCTATATAAGAGCGCTGCAAGATGCGATCAGGGAAGTATTGAATTCGGTGAGACAAGCGAAGCTTCGGAGCGGAATAAAGTGAATCAATGTGCTTAATTATTAGTGTTTTAAGTTTTAATTTGTGTAAAGAAAATTAAAGTGTTAATTTAGGTAATTCTATCGGCAATTTTTATTGTCACGAACCTCAAGCTCGTAACAATTGGTGTCAGAAATGGGATAAAATCATGCCGATTTGAACCTTAGGAGGAAACGGAGGGTGTCCGTACCCGCAGTCAACGCCAGCATAAGACGGACCAGAGGAGATTTGGTGGTGCAACGCCGCAGACGTCGGAGGGCCAACTGCCAGCCACGGAGGCTGCGGGCCCGTCAGTAGCTCCTACATCTGCAGCACCTAACTTAGGTGCTCTGATGGCAATGCTACAGGAGCAGCTGTTGCGCGGACGAGAGGAACAGGCCCGTCTGTTGGAAGAGCAGCTGCGGAGCGGACAAGAGGAACAGGCCCATCGGTTGAAAGAGCAGATGCTCATCATGAAGGACCTTCACGCTACCCTCGGGAAGGAGATCAAGGAGGTGAAGGATAGGGTTTCTCAGCATGACAACCGCCTGTCAGAAGCTGAAACCCAAATCGCGAAAGCTGAAACCCGAATCGAGAAAGCTGAAACCCGAATCGACCAAGTGAACAATCGGGTTGATTACGTGATGGCTGACGTGAAGAAAACGCTGGACGACCTTAAACTAGGGGACGGAATTACAGCTCCCGTAGTAGCTGCAACACCTGCGCTATGTGGGTTCAAGGTGCCACCGTTCGACGGGACTTCTTCCTGGTCAGCCTACAAAATCCAGTTCGAGGCTGTTGTGAAAGCGAACGGCTGGAATAAAAGTCAGGCAATGACTGCTCTCACACTAGGCCTGCGCGACCAGGCCTTAACAGTTCTGGAAGCTCTCGGTGAGGAAGTGACTTATGAGCAACTCCTTGAGGCACTGGAGTCGAGATATGGCGACGCTCACCTGGAACACGTCTATCGTGCGCAGCTTAAAGATCGCGTGCAGCGCATCAACGAAAACCTGCAGCAGTGGGCTCTAGAGGTGGAGAAGCTGGTGCGAAAAGCATACCGGTCTGTATCTGCGCTCATTGAAGGGAACCTGGTGCAGACATTCATCGACGGCATCCGCGACCTGGAAGTCAGAGCTGCTGTGAGGCTCGGGCACCACGAGACGCTTAAGGACGCCTTGGCCCATGCACTGTAGGTGGAGGTTGTGCGACAGGATCATCGTTCCCATTGCGTCAGGGAGGTTGCAGCAGCTACAGTTCGCGACTGCAACAAAGGATACAGCCCTAGGTGCTATGGCTGTGGGGAAAGGGGCCATCTTCGCTCCAGCTGCCCTAAGCGAACTGTAGAAAGAAGAGTTGATCGATCTCGATAGGGTAGTGCAGCTAACGACACCGCCTGGCGGTGGCAGAATCGTCGATCCCCTCGCGCTAGGGAGGTTGCAGCAGTTACGGCTCGCGACCACAATAAAGGATACAGCCCTAGGTGCTATGGCTGTGGGGAAAGGGGCCATCTTCGATCCAGCTGCCCTAAGCGAACCCTAGAAATGGAACGAACGATCTCAGAAGGGAACTGCGGCTAACATCACCGCCCAGCAGCAGCCGGGATACGACTTTACTATCAGACATCGCAGCGGGAAATCTCATGGCAACGCAGATGCATTGTCAAGAAGACCTTGTCGTGAAGATTGGAAACATTGTACTAGGCAAAAGAGTAAGGAAGTGGTATCCGTGAGGATGCTCAGGACAGACCACCTCAGCAACGAGTGGAAGGACAGCCTACGACATGCACAGCAGGAAGATCCGGACATCAAGCCGATTCTGGAATGGATGAAGGCCCGTGCTACCAAGCCTAAGTGGAGCGACGTCTCAGCGATGAGTTCGACTACTAGAGGCTATTGGGCCCAATGGGACAGCTTGCTGATTCAGGATGGAGCCCTGTGCCGTAAATGGGACAATGGTCAAGGAGACAGCTGTCGTTTGCAAATAGTTGTCCCTAAAGCTAAAGTGCCGAATGTTCTACAGCTGTGCCATAATGGTCGTTCAAGAGTCCATCTGGGAGTTAAACGAACTCTACTGAAGGTCCGAGAACGGTTTTACTGGGTCCATTATCGTGACGATGTCGAGGATTGGTGTCGTACATGTACAAGTTGTGCGGCTGTGAGGGGACCTCAGACACGTAGTAGAGGAGCATCGAAATTGTACAATGTTGGCGCACCACGGGATAGGACAGCTCTTGACATTGTGGAGCCGTTACAGAAAGGCGCAAGAGGGACTCCTAAGATCGTCCATGTGGATCGCCTGGCGCGTTATTATGGGGCCGATAATGCTCGGGACGAGCATGTCTTGGGAGGGGGCAGTGTTGCGCGGCTGAGTTGACATCTGGCAATAGCGCCATCTAGTGTCGGGTAACAGAGCGAAGAGAGAGCTTTCCATAAAATGACATCACTAATCTTTCAACCGACAGCGCCATCTGTTGTCCAAACGAAGAACTAAGCTTCTGGAAGCTGACTCTCGAACTTTCGGTGCTTTGTCGATTGGTGCGCGTATTTACTTGAATATTCTGGATTTTTTCGTGGAAGAGCCCTATATAAGAGCGCTGCAAGATGCGATCGGGAAAGTATTGAATTCGGCGAGACAAGCGAAGCTTCTGAGCGGAATAAAGTGAAACAGTGTGCTTAATTATTAGTGTTTTAAGTTTTAATTTGTGTAAAGAAAATTAAAGTGTTAATTTAGGTAATTCTATCGGCAATTTTTATTGTCACGAACCTCAAGCTCATAACAATAATATGACTCATTTAATATACTCGTAGCTACGTGCAAAGAGTTTAAAATTACTTCGTGCTGCGTATTTGACTCAAACGGTTTGTCAGTATTCGGGAGGCCCTTAATTACATCATCGTCATAAAAAGGCCTTTGGCAACTTTTTTCTTATACTATAAGGGTGACGAACGAGATAACAACCCACCTTTACGATTAAAAATCAAAATGGAGTGTTGTCACCCCTGAGAACTGCGATTGAATGCCTCGTTTCCAGTAAAAGGGTCTTCGGTTCTCTACACTCACCATACGAAACAGAGCTGCATTGAGTTGCTATTTTACGTTGGTATTCTATGGGAACCCTGTCCTTCCCCGTTCGAGCTGACACATTCGTGGTATAACCATAATATAGTTGCAGCATGGCTCTACCACGTAAGAACATCATCGTAAACTATCCTTCAATTTTCACACTATCGAACATCTTAAAATGTATTAATGTCATAATTTACAGAGGACTAGACAGCTTGACATCAAAACAATGTGTGGAACTCCTCAAGAACTTGGCACGAGATGGAAGGACTGTCGTGTGCACTATACATCAACCGGCCGCTTCATTGTACATGTTGTTTGATCAGGTGGGAATCATAATAGTTTATATCTTTTAAATTAGCCCAGGCGATCATCCAGGTCGCACAAAGGTAAAGTCAAAAGAAAGTATGAGATTAGACATCAAACCGTGGTTTACATAATACTCATATAACTTCGGGACAAACATAGTATAGAACTGAGAGGATATACGTTCTGTTCATCTTCTTCTTCTTCGTCAACCCTTAAGGGGTCATGTACAAAAGTACATTGCTGCACATAAACCGTCGCATAGTAGAAAAGAATATTTTTTATTGAATTTGCATTACAACAGGTACTTATTTAAAGTCATTAATGCTTCTACCGCTTCTGTCCTGGAAAAAGCCAGCAAAAAACCCAGTTGAAATTTGGTAAATATTAATAAAATAAAAAACGAGGGAATTTTTTATATTACAATTTAAATAAAACTAGTTTTAACGCTTTCTAACTTTCTAGTTATGTAAAATATCTTATAAAATTGCATAGTTTTTTCTTATTTCGTATTGCATAATTGAATTTTCAAATAAAGCCAGGAAAAAATTAATCTTACTTTGTTTATCATTCTCAATAGACTTTTGGAGACGGAACGTGCTTCGCAATGGCCTAAAGGCCCAGAAGCCATGGCAAAATATATTAAAAACGTGTTTTCTACGTTCAGTTTCAGACTATGAAAAACTTGTTCATTCATCATGTGGGATATGAATGTTCCAAATAACCAATTTCTTTTTTATAACTTATTAATTTATGATATTAATTTATGATTAGATACGATTTCTAATGGTTTTATACTATGGTGTGGAAAGAATAATAAGTGTACAGACCTTATCTGACAGCTATTATAACCTCAAAATTTTATTTACTTAACAGAATTTTTCTCTGCCCTCTAAATAAGAAGATGATAAGTTATTATGTTATTATATACAATAATTGTTTTTATACGATAGTAGTTGTAGGTAGACGCGACCTGTTAAAGGAATCAAGTGACAGGCCAATCAATGTATGGAAAGTGGGCATGATTCTTTGTGTCGTTGGAATCTAGCGGAACTGGGGGTTCAATTAACCCTTCGAGCGCCATAAAAATCCTATGCAGTCGCATGCGCTCGGCAAATCCCGAGCGGCCACATGTGACTGCACCTACCTACAGCACTTAAAACCATAATGTATTCTTTGATATTAAAAAAACCCCTTTTGTACAATTTTTACTTAATAAAACATTTAAACTTGTTTAATGACAAATTTTGTACATTTTGTGCCGGAAGAGGTTGTTTTTGGATTGTCCGAAGAGTGGAGGAGAACATGGTAATCCTCGAATCCGGCAACCTGTTCTATCACCCGAAGGGCGTCTATCTGTCCCAAGGTGGTATCGGAATCATCACAAATCTCTCGTTAACAACATTGTAAAGATTGTAAGTGTGTCAACGAGAATTGCATACCTTATACTTAGAATCACCAAACGGTATTCACTTAAGGTCATTCAGGTTCACGCATCCACCTTGGCACATCTCGATGAGGAGGTGGAGGAAATGCATGAGGATATATCTAGAGCCATGCTCTCCTCCAAAACCCACTATACGGTGTCAATGGGAGTTTCAACGCAAAACTAGACATAAGAGAGAACGATGAGCTGAAAGTATGGGAAATTCTGGATAGGGCTACGGAACCCAAAGGACCAGCAGCTGACCGGCTTCATGAAAAAAGAGGGATTTTTTTCAGAAGCGGTCCTATGGAAAATGGACCTGGTCGATCCCCGACGGTTTGACAAAAAATGCGATTGACTTCATTATGACGACTAGACGGCAACTGTTTAGTGGTGTCTCAATGATTGCGAGGGTGAAAACTGTCAACGTTTACCGAATGGTCAAAAACACACTGAACCTAAACGTTAAATTAACACACTGAAGGTCACATCTAATGAAGTCGACGCTCCGTCCTCATCATACCCTAATCTAAAGTTGCACAAACTTTCAGCTCTAGTTACAAAATCGTTTTTCAGTGCCTAGAAGACTACAATGCAGGGAATGATATGAATGATACGCTCATGGAAACTGTCCATGCGGTCGAAGCTAAGTTCTGCAAGACCCGGCGCAGAAGAACACAAAAGCTTTCAGATCACACTCTTAATCACATGGCTATTAGACGAAAAATTAAGCTGCAGTCTTTCACAGATTGACAGCAGAGACTGAACAGACAGGACACCAAACGCATGCGGCTCTTCTTACGCAACTTCGTTACAGTTCGTATTGAAGAAACGATTGAGCGAAACCAGGACTCCAAAGTCTTTGTCAGTGATCTGTCTGCCAGAAAGAGCTGCAGATTGAATGTGGCAGCATCGTTTCTAGGCCACAACATCATCGTTTGAGCCATACGCACGTGTGTGTAACGACCTGAGAGCAAGTCTTATCTGACACGATGATATCCTGTACGTCAATCTGATCGAGATTAGAATGATTCTCTACCACCCAAAAAACGGCAAGTCTCCGGGCGAGGATGGAATTACAGCAGAGCTTCTGAAAGCGGGAAGAGTTACAAATCGTTTCGCGCGCAGACTCGACGACTTTCAGCCTCCCGAACAAGCCGGTTACCAAAAAGGCTTTAGTGCCATAGACCACAAACATACCCTTCGGAAAATTGCACAGGTGACCGAAAAGTAAAATCTGCCACTATGTGTTACGTATGTGGACTATGAGAAAGCCTTTGATTCCGTCGAAATTTGTTCGGTGCTGCAGTCCTTTCTGCGGTGCCATGTTAACTATCGATATAACGATGCCTGTCCGGGTACAGAACCAGTGTATGAAACCTATCCAACTGCAGAGAGGTGTAAAACAGGGTGATATTACATCCCAGAAACTCTTCACCGCTGCATTGGAAGACTTTTTCAAGCTACTGGACTAACATCAATGGCGAGTACATCACTTACCTTCGATTTGCTGACGATATAGACCTTATAGCAGAATCGCTGGAGGACCTAAGCACTATGTTCATGAACGTGACAAAAGAATGAAGATGAACATGGTGTAGCGGCGCTGTCGTTGCGCCACAAGCGAAATACACCGAAGCTTAAATCACACTATCAACATTCCGAATCATAAACGGCATATATAGAACTTCTCCGAATTATCACTTGGAGTGTTGGCCGCTCCCCGGGCAGAACACCTTGCCCGGCGGGAGATCTCCCCTTTTCCTACCACGGCCACAGTGGTGACCCCGACGTGATTTGAACACGCAACCAACAACCTTCGGAAACTTCAAGCTTCATCAACGTCATAGAATACCCCACCCATTCGCTCCCGAGCAGATATCGTCTGCAATCTTCATATCCTGCAAGCCATCTAACTTCACAAGGTTCATCGCAGCACTGGAATAATAATGCTTCCTGTTCCTTCAAGCTACACTCTGCGCTACAGTGTTCAGCACGGCTCTGAGCCTTACTGCTCGCCTCTGCTTCACGGCACTCTCGCAGATTACTTGCCTTCTTCTCGACTCACCGCAGACTACAAGGCAATCTCCTGGCACTTACACATTCGTCGACAACAAGACTGCACTATCGACCTCCGGTCTGAGCAGGGGGTGATGTAGCGGCGCTGTCGTCGCGCCACAAGCGAAATACACCGAAGCTTAAATCACACTATCAACATTCCGAATCATAAACGGCATATATAGAACTTCTCCGAATTATCACTCGGAGTGTTGGCCGCTCCCCGGGCAGAACACCTTGCCCGGCGGGAGATCTCCCCTTTTCCTACCACGGCCACAATGGACAAAACAAAGATCATTTGTAGTGTCCATGCCACACCTATCCCGCTAATTGTTGGGAGCTAAGCTCGAAGTTGTTGAGGAGTATAACCTGGGACAATAGTCCGACTTGGTAAGTCCAACTTCGACTGGGAGGGTCTATCGACGGATTCAACTCGGCTGAGCAGCGTTCGGGAAATTACGACACATCTTGTCGTCAGGTATACCTCAAAACTTGAAAACGAGATTGTACAACCAGTGTGTATTGCTAGTGATGACTTATGGATCAGAGATGTGGTCCTTCACTACTGGCCGTATGAGGAAGCTACTCAGTGAGCTATGGAAGGAACTATGCTCCGTGTTTCTTTGCACGATAAACTTAAAAATGAGGATATCTGCATTAGAACCAGAGTGACCGACAAAGCCTAACGGATTAGAAAGCAAAAGTGGCAATGGGCCAGCCATATAGCTTCTAGAACCAACAACCAATGGGAAAAAAAGTTTCTTGAGTGGAAGCCTCGTACTGGTAGGCGAAGTGTAGGGTGACCCCCCACTAGATGGAGTGACGACCTGGTGAGAGATGCAGGAAATCGATGGATGCAGGTGGCTCAGGACCGTGCTTTGTGGCATTCCTTGAAGGAGGCCTATGTATAGTAGTGGTCTTGTGAAGAGCTGTAATGATAATAATGATTGCCTTTACCGCCACGCTTGGCAAGTATAGTAGCAATTACCAGTCTTGGCACTTTTTCAGTCATCGATGAGGGTATTTTACCTACTGTCATGTAGGAGATGATTGTATTGGCTTTTCACATAATCGCCTGTTACGATATTCACAAAATAATATGGCCGTCATCACAAATCACGCACTAATTATCACTATATATTTCTCTCAGTTAGTTAAGATATATTTTCTTTCATAAAAAATTAAGTTTAGCAAAGTTTAAAAATTAATTTAAATAAAAAAATTCTTTTACAGGTTTATGTTTTGGCTGAAGGGATGTGTATTTACGATGGGTCGAGTCAAGACACTGTTTCTTACTTAGCGGCGATGGGGCTGCAGTGCCCAAAATATCACAACCCGGCTGATTACAGTATGTGTTTGCACGTAATTTATTATTACTAGTGATTCACCGACTAAACACCGACTATTTGACTATTCAGCATGTTTTATTAGTTAGACTAGACTAGTCGGTAATATTATTATTATAATTATTACCAATTTATTCTAGTATCATATTAAGAAAACATAATTTGCATATGTATTAGTTAAAAATTAACTGAAATATATGAAATTGTAAAATTAACAACTTTGTACCTACTTTATCTTTTTAATAATATACAATAATTTTGTGTCTGTCATAAACTAGATGGTTATACTCGATACAAAACCAACGAGAATCAATTAAATTATGGATTCTTTTACTCTTACACTACTACCACAGGCGACTATCACCATCTCACAGGAATTTCAACTTCTACAGCAACGTATTTTCCAAACATCTTAATAAATTTCATTTGTAGAATCACTCCAATCCTGATGAACAGACAACTATTTTAGCAATCTCTGTTATTTTAGTAATTCTTTAAAGTGCATCAGAAATGCAATGCATTTTTTAACTATCTAACCATCTGATAGATTATCGATATTTACTGTGTTATCAGATTTTACCTTCCTTGTCTGCTCCAAAATATAACTGAGTGGTACACTTCATTTATAATTGTTGTCTTATTTAGCTACCTAATTTTATTTGTGGATATCCAACCACGAAAGTCGTAACAAATGAATTATAACTTTTAACAAAAAATAAGAATATATAAGAACAAAATAATTTTTGTTATTTTTTAACGTTTTGAATAGACTAAAACTTTATCCCCTATTTTGACATTCTTAGGTTGTTGGTTTTTTCTGCAAATTTATAAAGGACCTTTTAAATAAAAAAAGAATAATCAAAATCGGTACACAATAATTTAAAGACTAGTCGTAAATAAAAAATAAAATAATTAAAATTGTAAGCCTCCTCCTTTTTTAATGTCGGCTTAAAGTAGAAAACCTAAATATAACCAATCTCGGCGAGCTGGCGGTGCTCGTATTTGATCATGAATGTCATTGAGGTGATAGAACCATGCTACAGTTATATTAGCAGTGTAGTTGTAGCACGAATGAGTCGGCTCGACCGGGGATGGAACACGCTCTCACAGAATACCAGCGTAAAATAGCAACTTAAAACTGCTGTGTTTCGTATGGTGAATGTAGAGAACCGGAGACCCTTCTTACTGGAAAGCAGGCATTGCACCTTGTTCCTCACGGCTAACAACGCATCTGTATTTTTATTCGTAATCGAGCATTGATGTAGCTGTTTACGGGCTACAGTAACCACTTACCATCAGTTGGACTGTGAGTCCGTTTGTCGCCCTTATCCTATAAAAAAAAATTAACACCAATAAATCGGTTTTTTTTTGCCTAAGAGTCGGCTAATCGGCAAAATCTGTAATTAGCCCTGTCGGCATTCGTAATTATTTATTTATTTGAACTTTCACAAAAAACAAAAATAATACACGTACCTACCTACATCTCGAATTGTTACAAAAGATAATCATTTCAATTATTTATCTTCTAATGAAATGGCAATTGGTTTCACTTTTAGTTTTTTTATTAAGTACTCGTACAAAGACAGGGTAGTATTTTCGACTGGTATCTTACGAGGAGTGACAAAGTGATAACTATCTAATTTCACGAAATGGAGGCCATTAATAACAAACTAAAATAAAAAATATTATTTTTCCTTAACCATATTCCCTTGGGACACTTATCTATACATTAAAAATATTTCGTCTACTTATCGATCTTTGAGGCCCCTGTAACCTGCGAGCTGTGTGTTGTTCTTAGTGCTGGAGATAGCGAACGGCGAGTATGGAAACTTCAACGAGCTTCTAGCCGCTCAATGCTGTCATGGCGACAAGAAGGAGAGTCGGCCGTTTCCAGAAGTCAGCACGGAGGAACCAAAGTTCCCATGCGGGAAGACTACCACCATTATACGGCCCCCGCATGAGACATATAAATTCAGCGTGCTATTCAAGCGATGTCTCATTCAACAGTATCGCGACTGGGTAAGTTTGTATTATATTAACCTTCCATTGAAATAATAGTAATACCTATGCGATAAGACCAAATTAAACTTACCAACGCAACTGTTTTACTCTTTCTCAAACACATTTTTTTTCCTGAAATCTAACATGAAAATAGAAAATACAGTCGCACTGATCACGTCTTCAATTTTCGAATTAAAATAAACAAAAAGTTAGTTAAAAGTTATGTAACAGATGTTAAACAGCATAAGGAGTTCAGAAATCAATAATTTATATACTTACATGGATAAAATTTAAAGAAACACAAAAAAAAAAGTCATCAAGTGAAAAATGTGTTTATTTTATATTTAGTATATTAGATATATGTGTTTTATATATTATTTTATAAACTAGTATACTGAGAGTCGAAAGAGAAACACAGCTTGCTTATTGTACATACAAAAAAATTGTATCAATTACGGTCGAATTTCGATCACTAGTGATTAGTAATTGTACAATCAATTTATGTTGTTTCCTTATAATATTTATAAATATGAGAAAGTCGACAGTTGTGGATACAATGACAAAAATTATAGGATTTTCTTCTAGTTTCTTAAATATTGTGTAATAAGTTCTTTTGATGTGTCTCACTTTAACTGTTGGATGTAACAAAAAACCTGTTTAACAATTTTTCGTTCTTAAGTTACAGCAAATATAATAAATATTTGTCAATACCATATTATACAAGTCGCCAAATTAAAAAAAATCGCCACCATATCAATATCGGTGTCGGTGATTTCATGGCTGTTAGATGGAAGATGAAGCTACAGTCTTTAGCAGATTTGACGCAAATTCAATACAGCTCGTATTGAAGAAATGATGGAACGTAACCAAAGTCTTTGCCAGAGATCTGTCTGCCAGAAAGGGCCAACTGTCGAAGCTGAAGACCGAATGTGGCAGCATTGTTTCCGAGACACATGAGATTTTGAGTGAGATTGAGAGGTTCTTTGAGCAGCTGTACACGTGAATAACGATCTAAGAACAAATCTTATCCGATACTATTCCGATGATATCCTGGACGTCAGTCCAAGTGAAATTAGAATGGCTCTCCAACGCCTTAAAAAAGCAAGGTGCCAGGTGACGATGGAGTTATACTAGAGCTTCTGAAAATGGCTTGAAAACCGATACTTGAAATCCATTAGAAGCTCTTTAATTTCGCCTTCCACGGTGGCACAACTCTGAAGGTGTTGAGCAGAAGTGCGATAATAATAATAATAATTTATTGTTTCTCACATAACTTTTACAAACAAATCATATTAAAGCTCTGTAGCCCGTGGTAGTTGAAAACTGTGTTACAGGCTACATGTACATACAACTGTGTTACAGCATGATCTTATTCTTCAAGAAAGGCGACAACGCTCTCTTGAAGAACTACAGACCGATTTCTCTTCTGAGCCGCGTCTACGTGCTGTTTTCGAGAGTGATTACAAATCGTGTGTGTCCCCCTCTATATAAAGTGCTACCAGGTAAGACGTGCAGGAAGTCGACGGATGCAGGTGGCTTAGGACCGTGCTTTGTGGCGTTCCTTGGGCGAGGCCTATGTTCAGCAGTAGACTTGTGAAGGGCTGTAATAATTGATGATGATCGGTGTCGGTGAGATGTCGATGACGATATATCGCTATTGGCATATAACTTAACAACATTTTACAGGTTCGTTCATTTGTTTAAATTTAGCTAAAATTTTCTCTATTATACCACTTTTATTTTTAATGATTGTCTACACGATTTGATTCTCAATTAGTAGACGTGTTTTAACTGCCACTTTATCCTCGTCTTCAGACGGTGACCCATCTGAAGGTGTTGCTGCACATCGTGATAGGGGTGCTTATCGGTTTGATGTTCGAGCAAGCCGGCAATAACGCCTCCAAAACAATCAGCAACCTTAGCTACCTGGTCGTTTCCGTTGCCTACCTCTGCTATACTTCTCTCATGCCCGCCGTTCTCAAATGTAAGTTTTGCGGATATATTACTAGACCAATTTTTTATAAACAAAAAACATCCGTGCAGTTCACACGTGATGGAAGGGAAACCTTCAGAAAACTAAACTTAGAGAAAATGAGACGAATGCAGAGTTGTAAGAGTAGGATAATTGTAAGGTTTATGTAGTTATAATATAAATAAATTTGTAATAAACACTGTATACTGTATTCTATCTCATTTTCTCGCACGCGAAATCCAATTGATGAACATATTTTTTCTCGTTTTAGTGTCGCTTTTTTGTTTCATCGAGTTTCAAATCTCAACGATTCTACGAAGTTTTCACTTCAAAAATATTTTTAAAATGATGTGTAGGTAAAGCTGGCTTTTCACTATGGGATATAATACACATTATATAACGAGATATAAATTACACCCCGCGAGTGCCCATCACACTGTGAGATATATCTTTTAACCAGTGTGCGTCGTCATTGGACGAGCTGAGGACGTAGCGGAGGCGCGGAAGAGTGTGCGGGGGGGGGGGGTACAAAAGGGGAACTATAATATTAAAATATCGCTCGATCGATCAAAAAAATTTTATAGTTTGGGATGTAATATATTAATATATATTACATCTCTGTGTTAACGGTTCCATTTAATAGTACGGCGATATTAATTTATATCTCGGGATGTGATATAAATTATATTATCGCCCATAGTGGAAAGTGGGCTTAAGATTAATACAAAAGGGTAGTGTCAATGAGGGCTAATAATTTTAAGCTCACCAAATGTCGCTAGTTGACACTGAGGTGAAGTCTTTTGTTACACAACGTTATTTAATTGATAATTTAGTTTTAAACAAAGGTTTAGCAGTTTCTAGAGTACTATATTAATTTACAAAACAATGCCCTAGTGGTTGGTTAATTTGTTGCACGTTTTTAACATTTTTTTTAAATTTTTCTATTTTTATGCATATCTGTGATTTGGTTTATGTATTTTAAATAATATAAAAAAAGTATATAATTATATATATATATAGAGGTCAGTGATTGTCCTCATTGAAGTACTTTTTCTTATTTTAAATTTTACGATCTGTCAAAACCACAGACAAAATGAAACTTTTAAAAGTAGTACTGGAAACTCAGACGACGTTATACTTTCACAAAATCATTATTTTTTTGTATAAATTTGAATAATATAAATCTCACAAATCTAATCTTCTCCTTTATCATTCCTTAATATTCCACTGCAAAACAAATTTTTCCCATAAATTGCCATTAACCCTCGAACCCTCATTTCACCATCACGATCACAGAAATCTAAATAATAAGGCATCTTAATTTAGATTTATAATTGTATGCTTTTACCAAAAAGTATGTAATTTTTTTACCCAAAATTGCGTAAGTAGCATTTTGTGGGTTAGATCCTTTTTATAACTGGCAGCTATAATATTTATTATCTGTCGCTCTATAACTTTGTAATAAATCTTCTAAACATGACGAAAAATCGTTATGCCACAGTTCCACTGGAGCTCGCTGTGTTGAAAAAGGAGAACTTCAACAACTGGTACAACCTCAAGACCTACTACGCTGCAGTGCTCGTCACGAGCATGCCTTTACAGGTACGAAATACCATATTTAAAATTATAGTACTTAACAGTCTACGAAGTAAAATAAAATTACAACTAATGAGACGAAACTCTGGTATACGATGCATATTATGTAACAATGGAATGAACGTACGTTTAAAATTAACTGTAGGTACCAGTAGAAAATATAATTTCCAACAAGAGAGAGGGAAATAAACCGGCGGACGATGCGGGCGGAATCGAGGAGCACCACCTTCGGCATTTGAATCCAGAGCGATCCGTCTTGGAGTCGCAGCTGCCTAAAATTACTTGAGAGACTGACCAAGATTGGGCCATTCGCAGAAACAACAACATGAATAATTTCGATCGGTACACTACCACACATGTCGGGGTTCGGTGACCTGTTTGAGGAAACTGAGGGTTTTGTCTGTGCGATACAGGATTAGGTTTTTAACATTGAGTTACACAACACTAAAGGAGCAAACCACATTACCGCGCGTTGAAAAAAGTGTAACCACTATCCAAACACGACGACGAAGCTTTGAAACTAATAACAATTTTAAATAAACATATATCTATCTCACTTACACAAGTTGCGAAAACAATATAGTCGCTAAGATTAGATAAAGATAGACATACAAACATGCAATGACGGGTTGGTGTGGCCTACTATATGAAATTTTACATAAAATACGCAATATAAATGAGTTTTTTTTAAACCGGTTCGCCAAGCGGTGCGCACTTTAGATCGTACAATACCTACCTTACGTTCGCTCCAGAAGAGCACTAATTAGATCAGAAATATGTAAAATTGTGTACCTATGAAAAAACAATTTTTTCGTTTTAAACAAAACCAAAGACACTATGCAATAGATAATAGTATCAAAGACAAAGATATGCTCTTTTGTTTTAAACCATAACCTGGCAATGTTTCTTAGAAAAAAAAAAAAGAAATCACTCTGAACTTTCGGCGTTCCACGTGTCGTTTTGATGAAGGTGCTCCATCTTTTTTTATAGAATTTTATATTTGTGTCTGGAGTAAAAACGAAAGTATTATACTTTTTTGTATTCCTTGTAATATAGTGAACACGTAGATATATAATTTGTGGTATAAAAAGTGAAAAGTAAATTGCCAAAAGTACTTCAAAATCCGGAAGGCCCATTTTGGCGGTTGGGTCATAAATGTGTTATTTTTCAAATTCTCATTTATTTTTAGTGTAAAATGTAAGTAAAAATAGTTTTCTTACATATTTCAAATAACTTGACGTTGTATTTATTTCAAATTCACACAAAACTATTTTTGAAATATTGTTCGAAATATCATACAGATAAAATATTATTATTTTTTTTAATATTTTAATATTTTGGTATGAGTAACAAATAGAAATACATAAAACATAAAAATATACATATTTCCAAACATTTTCATATAAATTTCTCCAAAAAGAAAAGTGTAGAATTCAAATTAGTAGTAATTTTGTCACTAAAATTGAAGTATATACTACTACTATGCTATACAGGGTAATTTATGTATTTTATTACAATTTCTAGCAACCAAAAATAATTTTATTAGATAGTTTATACATTCAATAAGAAATCCTGTAAGTTTTATCCATAAATATTGTCTCAAAGTGAAAATATAGCAAAATTTGCAATATAGCAAAAAAAATTTCTAACTTACAAATTTTCCCGCTATTATGGTCCCGAGCGAACGGGAGTATAACATGTCGCGCGCTGTCAGAGCATACAGGGCTGCAGTTAATTGTTTTTATATTAAAAAAATATATTTTATTTTAAAATCTTTACTACGTCCCCTTAGAAAAAAGGGATACAAAGCTTATCAGATGAATAGAAGTAAAACATATTTTTATAAATATTTTTATTGTACTAATAAATCAGACAATATAAAATTTGTAATAAAATATAATTAATATAACATATATATGAAATTATAATTAATATAAATTTATTAATATAAAATAGGTAATAAAATATATTTAATAGATATTTCGTGAATAAACTAAAATAAGAATAATTAATTATTTTGTATAAAAGTTAAAATGTAGTTTGTATTATAATTTCCAAAATATTTAAAGTCTTAGGTAACAAATTAACTTACTCCATTAATTACATAGTCTTCCATTAATGTAGGATAATCACAAATGCGGAAAAGTGGCAACATTGAACCTAAATGGCAATATTCGATAATTTTATTTAATTATTTGAGGTTTTTTACGTTTATATGAAAACAAGAACTAAAAATTATGTGTTGAAAGTGATTCCGCTTGATTTATTACGTTTTTGTGACCTTGAATCACATTCTTTCGCTACGCATTTACCCATTTCTTGTCGCGGCTCAACTCTGTCGGCGTCACGTTGAACACTGAACTGACGGTAGCTAGGCATATGGCTGTGGCCATATTTGCAGTGGCAACGCTTTGGCGCGGTTATTACTGATCTAGTGTAATATATAAATCAATGGTTTTTAAGATCAACAACGGAGATACATCCTAAAAGATGGCACCGTCGACATCTGTTGAGCTAGCCACAGTCAGTTGAAAATAACAGAAATGCAGTGCACACTTCAGAAAAGCTTGAAGAAAGAAATTATTCTTTATAGTTAATAAATCAGCCAGTTCTTCTATAGAAGATGACGTTTCTATTTCGTGTCTATAAGTTTTTATTTTTTATATAAATTGACAAATCCTAAAGCCATTTCCAATAAGTCGGTACCATTTAAATTTCACAGTGTGGTTGATCGCAAGACATTGAAATTGTAAATATTCCATTCACTCCAAGGAAATACGATCTCAGTTGGTTGTTAACTAATACACGATAGAATATGTTCACTTTAAACAAGCATTCAGGATCTTAGAGATCAGAGTTTTAGGAAGTTCCACTTTAAAGACCATTTTTTCTATACTATTGACTACTATTGCTTGAGTTTATAAATCTCCAAATACTTTTCAAGGTCTTCCATATCGCAAAATGAGATGGTGATTGGATGGATGAGTGAGTAGACTTGCAACTACTTTGAGTTATTTGAAAGATCGATGACTTTAGAGTGAAGTGCTTTAGAGGCCGCATCGATGGTCTGTAAAATTATGAAATGGAAAACCAGAGAAACATAATGAATTTGTACTTGTTGACCTTCTTCAGTAAAATTGCTTTATTTCTCTCATCTGCTTTGGAATTTAGTAGAATAGTTTTTGCAAGCGCTTTATGAACATCAACAAACCGAACTTTTAAAGCAAAAATGGTATCGAAACGTCCTGCCCATCTAGTTGAATTTATGATAAGATCATCATGTGCTCACGACCCTCTCGGGCCGGGGTCCTTCCGGCTAGAGGCCCGTGGCATTTGTCCGGCCTGCCACCTTATTGTTACGCCACTGAATTCTTGTATTTCACTATAGGCAGAATGGTATTCAATCTGGTCACATTGTTTCTAATATATAGGCGACAACAGGCATCACCTGGTAAATCATTGAGTATTATTATTATTACTGGCATCCTGAGGACATTTTCTGACAGGTTTGATTGTCAGTACCTGAATCATTGTCGTATGGTGCACGTGCTGACTAATCGGGCCTGTCTTTGATATAGTTTTAGAATTAGGTAAATAGTTTTAAGTTTACTAACATTAGTTTTAAGATTTGTATTATAACAAACACATTGTTTGTGGTCGAAATAAACGATGTTTATTTATTTTATTTTATTACCAACTTTATATGGGTAGAAATTCCTATTGATTCTTACACACACAACGTTTATAAACATCCCAGTGATACGTACATCAAGTCCATACAACGAGCTCACCTAAAATATACCCGATCTTGACATTTACCATGATAATATATTCATACGTGGTAGAGCCACGATGCAGCTATATTATGGTTGTAGAACGAATGGGTCGGTTCAACCGGGGAAGGACCACGCTCTCACAATACCAGCGTAAAATAGTAGCTTAATGCTGCTGTGTTTCGTATGGTGAGTGTAGAGATTAGAAGATCCTTTTTTACTGGAAACGAGGCATTCCAACTTAGTCCTCACGGGTGACAACGCATTTGCATTTTGATTCTAACTATAGTTGTCTATGGGCCACAGCATCCACTTCCCAGCAGGCGGACTGTGGACTCATTTGTCACGCTTATTCTATAAATCAATCCTTACTGAATTCTAAATCGGTGTATAATCGATATTTAATATTTATATATCAATATTAATTCTTTCCAAAATGATTTGTAACAGATCTGCTATAGCTTCATCTATTCGGCACCGTCGTACTTCCTATCTGGCCAGCCTCTAGAGCTATGGCGCTTCGGAATGTTCGTGCTGGTGTGCGCAAATGTCACGTTACTGGCCGACGCTATTGGCAACGTCATTGGCACTTGCGTCAACCCCATCGTGAGTATAGATCATTTTTAAATATACATTACTTTCTTTTGTTTGATACTTCGTTTGGATTAGTTTGACATCGCGCTTTGTCTGAAATTAACACACAGCGTAGACAGAGAAACCTATAGACGAATGATTAGCGTGGCCTCGAGTGAGAAAGGACGATAACGTAGTTTTAGGTTATACAATAATCTTTATGACTTTTAATAATATTTAGATAAAAATAATTGTTCTAAGAACTGAACTAAACAAGATTCACCAATCTTAAGCTCACAAAACACTTTTCTCTCACTTATACCAACTTGTACCTTAGATAGCTGCGAACTGTCAAAGTTGTTTAGCAAAGTGTAGTTTGCTAAACAAAAAAACCGGCACGGACAAACAATAACACCGCTCTGTCTCATTTCTATGCAAGACGTATGCATAAATCTATCTCTTTCGTGTGCGAATGCGAAAGAAGGCGTCAATTTGTCTATAGGTTTCTGTGTCTACGACCCACAGTATGACTGACAGAATTGAAACAGAACTGACAGAACGACTTCGATAAAAACTACGTGCGTATTTTCTAGTATTTGGTACTTACACTGTTTAATCGTGGTTAGTAAATATAATCAAAGGTTAAGTTTATCTATTGCACCTATATCTCTGTCCTGTATTGAAAATGAGCGGTATAGTTACCGCTATGTTGTTGCTATAACATTTGTGCTGAGTAGACGCCATTTTAGTTCCTAAATTAATTCGTGTTATGTTAATTTGTTATTATATTTGGAACGAATTAATTAATTGTACGTGGTAGAGCCATGCTTCATCTATATTCGTAGTATAGTTGCAGCACGAATGGCTGGGCTAGACAGCAGGAGGTCCACGCTCTCACAGAATACCAACGTAAAATAGCAGCTTAATGCTGTTGTGTTTCGTATGGTGACTGTAGAGAACCGGAGATCCTTTTCACTGGAAACGAGGCATTCCATCTTAGAGCTCACAGGTGACAACGCATTTGTATTTTGATTCGTAATTCGTAATCGATGGTTGATATAGTCTGTAGATGGTAGATATGTCTATGGGCCACAGCAACCCCTTACCATTAGATAATAATATAGATAGTGATAATATAATTCTATAAAGAAATTATTATATCATTAACAATCCTTTGATGCACACATTTTCCCAAAATCCCGAGTTTTACCGTAATTGATATTATTATATCGAAACGAAATAATCTTTCCTTACCTGTCTCGATACAGCTACTGCTGTTTTGCCTTAGAAAGTAAGAAGAGCTGATATACATATATATATATATATATATATATATATATATATATATATATATATTTTTTTATGCTGATATAGATATACAGCCTAATAGGTATTTTGATTTAGTTGTCAGAGGTGACAAAGTGTAGCCTTCTATGTTTATAGGTGGTGGTAGGCTACAAAAGCCACAACCATTCGCTCGTTTAAACCTCTAATTTGGATGTTCTACTTGGTTGTTTTGCTATTGGATCATAGTGATGGTGATGCTGATGATTTGTTTTAGAACGGCACGTTCATAGGCGCTATCACCACTTGCGCTATGATCGTGTTCGCCGGATTCTTGGTGCTGTTCGCGCACATGACCTCAGTGATGCGGGCGATTTCCTACGTTTCGTTCCTGAAATACGCGTACGAGGGACTCGTGCTCTCCATGTACTCGTACGGCAGAGCGCCTCTTAACTGCCCCGACGACGTCATATACTGCCATATGAGGTAAACACTTTTCGGTATATTTTTGTTACTTTCTGACAGATCTTGTAAGGACTGCAAAATTTCCGTCTTATTACAAAAAATTATTTATTATATATTACATTCGCCTTTTTAAGTTCCGCACCCAACGATTAGGCTACCGCCAATTTAATTTATGCTTTAAGTAGAATCCTCAAAAGAAGTTACTTAGCGGTGACGCCAGTCTTCGCGAAATTTGACATTAGGTAACTGTTAAGGGGCAATAGTGAAAAATTAAGGGCCTATACTACTTCAAATGGCTAAGCAAGATGCTCCGTTATGCCAAAAATATTGCATATATTATAAGCATTAATTTTGAAATAAATATATGGTAAAGTTGAGGATTAATGTTAAGTATTACGTTAGACGAAAACACGATTCTATAAAATTTTGTTGATAAAAAAAATCCAAAGTTACCTCCAAACTGAACAATAAACCGCTGGAATTCATAAAATACTTTAAATTAGTTCATGAAATTTTGGATACTAATTGAACTAACTATAAAGCAGGGCTTATGTTTTTTTTTTTAATTTTTTTAATTACCATTACTTTCACTGTAAAAATAAATTACCTAAACTATCGGCGTCCTGAACCTTGTTCTCTATCCCTGCCGCCCGATCAGTCTCGCTACGGCTTTCGACCGGAAAAGCTGTGTCATTTACGATCAGAATGAACATTACGCAACAGGACGACGTTAAATTAAAATGGGAAATAACCGTAATAAAAATAAGAATCGACTGGGTTGGCGTAAAGAAACAGGCATAAATATGATAAACCTAATGAAATAAGTGTCTAACGACCTATCTACTTACAGTATTAGTGATTACAAACATGTGGGTACATAGCATACGACGCGCGGGGAAGTGAGGACGAAATTAGAATTTGAGCTGAGGTAGTATAGGCCCTTAAGCACCTTATTCTACGTATAGTTTTCAAATTCTAGTTCAAACTTGACACTTGTTATAACTACTTTTAATAATCAGGCACTATAATATCCGTTGGGACTGGCTATCGCAACCGAAATTTGGTTCCAAAGCTAATTTGGTCCAAAAGCCGAAAGCTGGACATAGGCAAGATGCCCTTGGAGGGAGATTTTCCCAAAGTCGTCAGGCTTCGCAGACAGATTGACGTCACATCCTTGGGCGCCGCTCCCCGTTGCCGATCTGGGTATTTGACACGCAGGCAGTGTAGGCAAATATACCCCCTATGTGACAATCTGTGACGGAGGCTGTGTTCAGGAGTGAACTTTTGACAAGCTGTAACGGTGTAAGGATATGAAGTGGCCAAAGATTCTTACCATTAGGCCATGCGGTTATTAAATTTATTTATTAATATTCATTATTTTTTCATTATAGCCATCTCCACAGATTGCTTTACATTACATTTGCCATAGTTGCCATTATTGACAGTCGGGGTTTTTTTATAGAATAAGATTGACAAACGAGCACACAGTCCGCCTGATGGTAAGTGGATGCTGTGGCCCACAGACATCTACATTTATCCTCGATTAAGAATCAAAACGCAGATGCGTTGTCATCCCTGAGGATTAAGATGGAATGCCTCGTTTCCAGTAAAAAAGGGTGTCCGGATCTCTAGTCTCCATACGAAACACAACAGCAGAAGCTACTATTTTACGCTGATATTCTGTGAGAGCGTGGTCCTTCCCCGGTCGAGCCGACCCTTTCGTGCTACAACGATAATATTACTGCAGCATGGTTAAACCACAGGTTGGTAACCGCAGCTTTTTTGTTTTTTAAAATTGTTATTAAGAAGGTGGGGTCCATTTCCTCGTTTGTTGTGTTGCTGTCCGTCTGTCGCCTCTTATAAGTTACGACACCCACTGAGTGTCACGGGGTAGTGGGTATTCCGATACCGCCAATACACAGCCAATTATTAACTATTAATATATCATTTAGCCGTGGTAGCTCAGTGGTTAACGCTCGCTGTAAATATAACAGAACGCGAGTAACCCGGGTTCGATCCCCGCCGGCACCAATGAAATTGTTAATTGCAATTTTAAGTGCTGATTTACCACGTGCTCGGCGGTGAAGGAAAACATCGTGAAACCTGCATGTCTGAGGAATAAGAAAAAAAAAACTATTTCGAAGACATGTGAAGTTCGTCAACACGCATTTGGGCAGCGCGGCGGACACTTCCTTGCCCTAAACCCTCTCAGAAATGAGGGGAGGCCTGAGCCCAGCAGTGGGACGTATATAGGCTGTAACTTTACTTTACTTACTATATAATTTTATAATTATTCCAGGTTTCCAAACAAGATCATAGAGGAATTCAGTATGAACCCTGAAAATTATTGGATCGACATCGCAGTATTGTTGTCAGAAATCATTATAGTTAGAGTATTGGCATACTTCACATTGAGACGGACAGTCAAGATATCATCATAGAGTCACACATACACAGGAGAAACAGTGATATATTTAAATAATTATTGTGTTGAGTACGTAGTCTATAGCTAATCTTAGTTTGAAGCGTTAACGTAAGGTGGATGCGGTTAAAACGCGGAACGATGGCAACACTTGCTATATACAACTTTTTTTTAATTGAGGACTGTCGTAGTCAACGTTAAATAGAATTTAATAAACATTAGTGTAAAAATAGTGAATATTTAAATCTTTAAAATATTTTATAATCCACTACTTAGTCTGCTAATAAACTTTTAATAATATTTATAAAACGTGTTATGTTATCGCTGGTTCGATTTTACCACAAACACCAAAACTTAAATTTATGATTTATCTGAAATTTACGCATTCAAAGTTACAAAAGATATTTTCCTTCATTAACCCGTAAAAGTTTACCATTAAACATGGACTCTTTCCATTGAGGATGAGGAAAGGATTTGGCACTTAGCAGTGGGCAGAGGCAGCAGATGGCAGTTGGCAACATTCACGATCTCTCGCACTTTCGACGCTGCTTTCCGCCACCAGTCTGGGTTTTTACGCGCGGCCATAGATAATAAATATGTAGCAAGTACGCGCGGCGATCCCTTTGGCATAGTCGCCTAGATTGATGGAATATCCTACGCGGCACTGAAACCAAACGTCTCTTATTGTAATGTTTTTCTATTTGTAATGTCCTAATAAATTGTTTACTTTATTTTTAATTATAATTGACTTTTAATAGGTGCATAATTTATAAACTGTGATGGTCAATACATTTATCTTAAGGTTGACGTGATTTAAGAATACGTTACACAATATTTCATGAAAAAACAATACTATGTGATATAAACGTGCACAAGGCAATTCAAATATTTGTTTGGTAGGTAGGGTGAGCTGTCCAACACTGAGCCACTTAAATTTTAAAACCTATTAACTGAGCTGTTTTTTATTTTTTAGATATAAGTTTTTAGGCGAAGATAGCAAATTTAATTGGCTATAGACTGGCATTATTACTTTTCTTAAAATATTTATAGACATTCCATGACTACCTTTTTCTTAATGGGAACGATCCATTGTTTACATAAGTGTGTACAGAATGTGCCAAGCTATATTTCACAATGAGCCAGGATATATATACTTACTATTTTGTACTTTTACAATGAATTTCATAATTACATTAATAGAACAATGCTTCTTATTTATAATTTTCGTTTTATTAGTTTATTTTATTCATAATCAAACAATACAGACCATTTTACTTTTGTTTCCATTGAGTTTTATTAAAGTAAAATCAACTTAAACAAAAATTAATTTTTTTGAATTGTTATAAAATGAACAAAATGATCATGAAACATTAAAAAACCAGCTTAGTAAACTTATTACGTTATCAGTAACTTTATTAATAACAACCAGTCTCATAACCATTATCGATTTAATTCCGGCCCTTAACAAGTCCACTTCTGAACATAGGCCTCCCCCATGGAATGCCACAGTCCAGCTCAGTCCAGAGACACCTATATCCAGCGTCTTCCTGCATGTCATACCAGGTCTTCACTCCGTCTCCACTACTATCCACTTTTTGTTAAAATCGGTAGCACGAGCAAAAGCCGCAAGCTTCCGGTTTTTTTAATGATAAATCCAGATTGCTTGTTTTTTTTTTCAAAACAATTTCAAAAAATTGTGCGTAACACAAAACAAACACAATGAAATTTGTTACACAAAAGAAGATATGTTACACAAAATCAATCATAAAGCAGTATTCCCATGGGATACTTACAATAATATAAAAATAATATAAAATAATAAAATAAAAACATCATTATTTTTAATAAATACGCAGATAAAATCAACGAAACGTAGTTATTAGAAAAACAAAAATGAATAAATTCTTAAATTTACATACAACATACAAACATAATTTTTATATACATAAAAATAATGTGTACAGAGCTTAAGGTTTGTTTCTTGTGTAACTTAACATAATGTCACCCAAAGGTAATAATTTTTATTACTTTTGGGTGACATTATGTGTCACCCAAAAGTAATAAAAATTATTACCTGTGACAAAAGCAACAAAAAATTCTACGAAAAAAAGTATAACGAATTTAACAAATCGAACTAAAGCAAATGTTAGATGTTTAAATTATCTATTACAGTAAGAAATATAATAATGCAAAACACTAAACTTGTCATAATTATTTGCGTCACTTGGTGGGGAATTTTTTACTGACGAAATTCGTGTGAGACGCTCACAGTGTGACTGCTGACTGCTACTAAAATAAGATAGCTGTCACATTTTCTTGTAAAGCTGGTAGTAGATCAAATGTTACCAGACTTAAGAAAGTTACGGGAGCATTCCAAATATCTATATTAAGGCCATAGCACCGTCACACAAGCGTTTTCAAACAATTTTGGGACTTTTTTTCTTTTTGTTTTATAAACTTACCCTGCCTAAATAATTTTGATGAAGTTTTTTTCGTTAGCTCTGCAAATAATAGAGTTATGTCACTATGATCAACTAATTCGGCGAGGTGGATTTACTTCATCACATTTTTGTATGGGGAAAAAATTACCCTCATAAATATTTTATTTTTTGTGTATCCTTTATTAGTCATCTAATTAAAGTAGATAAAAAATTATTTGTAATAAGTAGATAGCTTAAGCTAAATATATATAGTAATCAACACGAACTCTAACAATAGGCTATATGTCAAACAATGAAACACGGTTAGTACCCAATAAAACATGGCTCATTGTGTACAACATAGTTTTGTTTCATTGTGTACTATATGGCACATATTTCTATAACCTTGAAATAAAAATATAAAATAAAAACATTCCAAGTGTGTTTTGTACGTAACTGAAATCTGCCATACATGCACAATGTCATGTAATATCAAGAAAAAAAGCAAAGTCTAACTTCTCTCTTCTCTTCTAACACATTATAATGAAAAATCGACGAATATCAATAAAATATTTACTTTTTTTGCTTGAAATCCGTTAAATCTCTATCACACGTCTGCTTCGAACGCCCTGCACCCAGTTTATAAAAAGTACTCTGAACCTGCACCTAGGAATTGGGGGACTTTGGGGTCGCTTCTTTACATGTACTGTGCACTATCTGGCTAAGTTGAAATATGGAAATGTTTCATTGTGTACTACTACTGGCTCAATGTTGGACAAGTGACCATACTTAAAGTATCGTTTTCATAATAAAATTTACATCGCCACTAATCTTTAGATTATATTTTAGTTCCTATATTTTAAAATTGCGCAAAAGATTTCCAAGATATACGAGTACCTATATAAGCAGTGCTTCGTTAGATTTCTGATTTAGCTGTTAAAAATGTTTACCGCTGCTTCTATTATATTAATGTATAATAGTATAGTGAGTTAACTAAACCTGAGCTGTAAACTATAATTCCTTTTGAATAAATTATAAATTATAAAATTTCAACTTGCATTTTTTTTAAATATTCACTAACTATTTTTCATATAATGCTTCTTTTTAAGTTGTACAGAGTTATTTTACAATATACGCCCAAATTTGCAGAGAAGTTTAAATAAGTAACATAGGCGAATGGTGAAGAAAAATTAATTTACAAAAAACAAACATTCTGTCCTTTTTATTTTTTAAATTCAGAATGCTTGATAACGCATTATTTTAACTGATTGTCATTCATATTTTTGTTGATTGTTTCACATAAATCAAATTAACTTTAGCATAACCTAAAAAAGAGAAGAAGCCTTCTTTACTCGTATTTTCATATAAAATTTGGATACTGTTTGAAAATAACCCTGTATATTAATTACAATGTTTGTAATTTAATGTTAATAAAATAATCTCTATTTGTAGTTTTTAGTCTTTACCATGGACGAGTAAAAAAGTTAGGACTCCGCACCACGATATTAGCAAGTGAAGCAACATTTATGCTGTATATGTGTGCGTAATCTGCGTAGCAAATAATGTAATAAGAACTGGCTTACCTGTGAAAGGTAATCTTTTGTCACTTTTTTGTAATGTGGTATTATTTTTGCAACATTTAACGACACACGACGGCCTTATTTCAATTTTTGATACGCGAACTTAGTGGTTGCCTATCGGCTTATCTTTGTGTGAGTGTGTGCGTGTAGGTTCGTATTTACACGTAGCTGACTTGTTTTGGGATGCTTTATTAGGTGACGCGGAGTCCTCACTTCTTTTACTCGTCCGTGGTCTTTTCCTATGAAATTGTCGTTTCGTATGAGAAAATTAATTTTTTTTTCTAAAAAATACTTTAATTGAAATAAATAACTGCCTATACTATTGACATAATATATTTGTACCATCAATGAAGTAGGTGGTAAGTTGGCCTTGGTAAAGAAATCTGCTAACATTCCTTGATTACAAAATTTATTCGAATTTAGAATTCCAATTCCTTTGAGTATAAAGTCCAAATCAAACCATAGTTATTACAGTTCGAAGTGGCAATTTCATAGGTAAAAGACCTAATATATTCAATTTATGCGTAGTATAAAAAATATCAATACCCAAAAGCGTTTATTAAGTCTGAAAGTTATGTTTTAATCTATATTAAGCAGTAATTTATAATAAAATGCATTTTGGTAACGGCATTTACTCAATTAATACACAAAGTATTTACTAACACGAAAAAAAAAGAAAAATATTTAACATCTTATTGAAAAATAAAGCCATTTTTATTGCAATATTGCGGTTATCAAAAATAAATTACTAAAATTATTTAAAATAAATTAATAACTGCTACAAAAAAATTACTCAATTTTAAATACATTATTTTCTACAGCTTAAACAGCTTTAATTCCGAAACATTTTTATTTATGTCATGTTTATATTTTCATAATTATAACGAGATAATTAAGCAAATAAATGTCGTTTTATTACTATAAATAATATAGTAGGAATCATGTACCCATACTGCACTAATACGATACGGACATAATGTTACTCTCTCAAAGCTTTAGTATTATCCCAACATCTTATA